TAGCCACACTGAAAGCATTCTCTAGTTAGAATACGACATTGGCCCAAATGTGATCTACCACAGGTCTGGCAGACTGGAGTAGTGGCATATATCTTCCCAGAAGTACGATGTCCAGATGCTGACAGTCCCCTAGTACCCTGTCTATAATGTTGCCTATATGTGGACTATTAAGACAAATGAGTCCCTGTCTGAGAACCCTGTTGTTGTTTTCCCTGATTTCTTGCTCTTCGATTTTCACTAAAACTGCCACTGAAAGACCCTCTTATCTTTGCCTTCTTATGTAAATTACTAGTTGCATGCTCATCACGCCACTTGTTTTCAATCTTTCTAGCAAGGTCGACTACATCAGAGTAGGATAAAGTCTTCATTTGTGGGGCTACTGCAGTGTATAGACGACCAACCAATCCATCAACAAACCTCTGAACTCAAGCTTCTTTGGTAGGAACTAAGTAAGGAGCATATATAGCCAGCTTACAAAACTTAGTATTATATGTTGACACATCCATATCTGGAGTCTGAACCAATCTCTCAAAGTCTCTAGCATATTTTTGCATCAGGCTGTCTGGAAGAAAATGATTCTTGAACAACTTAGTGAACTCGTCCCATGTCAGTGGTGCTGCTCCTGCTGTCCTACCTAGCAATACAGTTTCATACTATGTGTTGGCCATATCCTCTAGTTTGTATGCTGCGAGCTCTACGACTCTCTCACTAGATCATCCAAGAGCACGTAATGCCTTGAGTGTCCCATCCAAGAAACTTTGAGGATCTGTTGAATTATCGGAACCTGTGAATTTTGGTGATTTCAATTTTAGGAACTCTTGTAGGGATACTTCCTTATCCCTGAAAGTTTGAGTCTGTGCAGGTGCTTGTGTCTGTAAAGTTGCTTGAGGAGCTGCACTTCCACCCTGAGTAGGCACCAATGCCTCTAACACATTCAATAACCTTGCCACTGCATCTCTAGGTAAGGCAACAGTAGGTACAATAGTTGGCACTGGTAGTGGAACATCCCGAACTCCCTGACCTTGCACTTGATCTGGCATAATAGCTTGGGGTTGACCCATGTTCCCAACTTCAGGTTGAGGAGCAGTCTGTCTTCTAGTTTGATGAACCCCAACCCGACCGCCACCCTGGGTAGTACCATGTCCAGCATAACGTCTAGCAGATGAGCGTGTGCGTGTCCTAGCCATCTGCGAAAGAAATACTCCAAATTCAATCTCAAGATATCTCAATACACGATCAAAGAATGAAAGAAGAAAACATTCCTAGATGTTCAGTAGCCTCAAGATCATAAGTATGGGCGCCTACATACTCATGAACAAGACTCTACTAAACATTGCTCCATGACTTGGGACTTAAATCCTAAGCTCCGATACCAACTTTGTCACGACCCAATTTAGGATCGTGACCAGTGCTTAGGAGTAAGTTCTCCCAAGTAAGCCTCATCGGTATTTTACAGAAAATCGGACAGAGTTTTCTCTATTTTTGGACTATTCAAAATTTTCCCTATCTCAAAATCAATAACCAACCATCCTAATATCAAACCAAATAATAGACTACTTATTAATTAACCAAAATAGTCTCCACCATTACTAATCAACCCACTAACAATCAAAAATACTAATTTATATCCGACTTTGATAATAAAGAACGATAATCAACATAAGACTATAATAAAGAAAGAATACTCATGATACTAAAATATTGACTATGGAGCGACTCTAAGAGTTCAAATAAAAGATCCTAACAATAAACAAAATCTCCGCTCACGCGAACAAGTGCGAGGTTCACCAAAAACTATCAACCTGTGCGCTCTAATTAACGAAATCCTTGCTTGCGCCAACTGCTGTCTCTGTAAAAAAAAATTAACGGGGAATGATTCGCTAGATCAGTGAGTAATAACACTTAACCACAATCATTTTTATTGGGGACAAGTCAGAAAACATGTTAGTATCTCAAACAGAAAATAACATAAAAATGCCCTTTCAGAAACAATAAATAATTTTCAGTCTCATAATGTTCTTCTTGTAGTATAATACAATTAATAATTTAGTAATAAGCTCGGTAACCACTGTATAATATCAATATTCACATTTGGTAGGTTTCAATGAACGGATCAGGTAATTGGTATAACTGTGGACTTCTTCGCAAGAAGTCAAATATAACAGTAATCATTACTCGAGGAAAATCGACAACGATATGCTAGTTCTACCTTCCCACTAGTGAGGGCTATAACGGTAATCCATAATTACAAGGTGCACCAAGTCTAATAAAGCCTCTATTAGCTACGGGATCCTTCAAAGTCTATTCTCATTTATACTTGTCTCTATAATCCATATAAACTCATAGGAAACCATTTTAAAATAATATAGAGCATTTCGGTTCTTATCAAATCATGTAATTTCATTTCCATAACAGTAAATTCATGTAACGGTAAAATATATCTAGTGCCAACAAGAATATTTAAAACAACGGTAATCATGTCAAATAACTATTTCGGTATCATATCGAGTAAAAGACTTATCTCACATGCAACTCAAAATAATTGGTAATATATTCATATTAAAAATCATATGTAATTCATGCAAGTTATGAAAACACAAATTGCGGTAAGATTACTACTCACAGTACTCGTGTGAAATACCAAACTCGTCACCTCGAGCGATCCGTACAACTTTCTTCAATCAATCTATAACCACATCAACATCGAGTAAAAGACTTGTCCCACATGCAACTCAAAATAATTGGTGACATATTCATATTAACTATCGGTATCATATCGAGTAAAAGACTTGTCCTACATGCAACTCAAAATAATTGGTAACATATTCATATTAAAAATCATGTGTAAATCATGCAAGTTATGAAAACATAAATTGCGGTAAGATTACTACTTACAGTACTCGTGTAAAATACCAAACTCGTCACCTCGAGCGATCCGTACAACTTTCTTCAATAAGTCTATAACCACATCAACATCGATCTCGTGTTAATTACCACATTTAGGCTAAATTCATCACTAATTTAGAATACCCAATCCTTTGAGTTTTATATTTTATCATCAATTCGCTGAATTATATTTACTCATGCTATGGGTAATTTAAATTAGTCCAAAATCTTTTAAATAAAAAGGTATTTATATGGTTGATTCCTTTTACTGTTCAATTTCCTTAATCGTGTGCATAAATTGAAACTGAAATAACTTTACTTTCAATAATATTCCTTCTTAATTGGTGCCTATCTTTTGCACTCAATACTAGACTCATAACATTCAAACCCAAATTCGATATTGTCATTGCAATACAGTTAAATACCAAAACTCAATCCTTGTAACCTAACTTAATTTACACCTAACAAAGATCATATATAATATGACTAGTTTAAGTACAAATACATCAATACCCTTCTTTTTCCAAGTGAATTTATCCTACAATAACATCGACCAACTTTTAATTGCATAATTTGCCCAGAATAACTCTTATTGGTATTAAATTTCTTATACCTTGTGAAATCCATCAAATATATGAACTGAGATAAAAAGAATTACCAGAAAAAAAGAACCCAAATGAGAAATTCGAGTATTACCCGTAAGAACTAGAGCGTATTTAAAATTTCTCAAGGTTTGGTTCCATCCTTCTTCTTCTTCTTCTTCTTCTTCTTCTTCTTCTTCTTCTTCTTCTTCTTCTTCTTCTTCTCCCTTTTGGAATTTTGTTTTCTCGGCGTTCTGAAGCTTCTGCTTCAACGTAGTAGCCAGCCCTCTTTTGCCCTTTCTTTTGTTTTGGCAAATGGGCTTCGGCCCTTTTTGCTTTACTTATCTTTTTATTTATTTATTTTGTTTTATTAATTTGCTCCCTCTTTTTTGTTGTTTATTAGTTATTATTATTATTATTATTATTATTATTATTATTATTATTATTATTATTATTATTATTATTATTATTATTATTATTATCTTGCTAATGACCAATACACTCTTATAAAAAAATATAAGGTATTATAGCTAGCAACCAAACTTAACACCACAAGCAAATCCTTTCTATCTTTAGTCGATATTTTTTTGTCCATTTTGTTTATGTTTCGCCAATGGGACCATGATAAATTATTAAGGTTTGGTGTAAATACCCGATAAAAGAGTAAGTTTAATGAAGTGTTTCAATTGAGTAGAATTATATACATATTGCAATTACTTCATGAATTCTGAGCATCAATGATCTAGAATGTTCTAAGGAGAAGAGAAAGGAAATGAACGATAGAGGAAGAAGAAGGTAGTGAAAGTCTATTGTTTCATTTCCACTCACAGATATTTATATACAAAATGTCCTAACCGCCTAATTACACCTTACAACTAATTACAACAAACTTAAGACACTTTAGTTAGCATCTAGCTGGCAGCCAGCTGTTCGCAGCCAACCATATGGGCATATCACAATACCCCCCCTCAAAATGGAGGGTGATAAATGTTCAACACTCTCAGCTTGCTTAATAGATGGACATGTGTTGCATGACTTAATCCTTTTGTCAAGAGATCTGCTAACTGATCCTTTGTAGGAACATACACTGATCATTCCACATTTAATCTTGTATCTAATAAATGACAATCAATCTCTATGTGCTTCGTTCGTTCATGAAAAATTGGATTGGCTGCAATTTGCATAGCAGCCTTGCTGTCAATGTGCACTATTACTGGTTCTCTAGTTTCAATGCCTAGCTCTTTGCACAGCCCCAACAACCAAGTGATTTCTACTACTGCTGATGTCAGCTCCTATATTTTGCCTCTGCTGAACTTCTAGCTATTGTTTGTTGCTTCTTTGACTTCTAAGAGATCAAAGAGTCCCCAAGCTGCACAACATATCCTATTACTGACCTTCTTGTATTTGGGCATGATGCCCAATCTGAATCATACCAACAGGCAACTCATTGACTTCTGTATCCTGCAGCCAAATTCCTTGACTTGATGTGCCTCTTAGATATCTAACTAGCCTTGTTGCAGCCTCTCAGTGTGACTACTTTGGTACTTGCATGAACTGGCTGAGTGTTTGGACTGCAAAGTTGATATTAGGTCTTGTGATAGTGACATACATTAGTCTCCCAATTAACCTCTGGTATTTGTTGATGTCTTCCAGTATTCCATCACCTTTGACTCCAATTGCCTCATCATACTCTACAGTTGTTAGCTTCAGATTGCATTCCAAAGGTGTGTTGGCTACCCTAGCACCACTTAGGCCTAAATCAGAAACCAGCTCCAACACATACTTCTTTTGATTTAGGAAGACACATGACTTAGACCTCAAGACTTTAATGCCCAGAAAATACCTGAGCTCTCCCAGATCTTTCAGTTTGAATTTTCTGTGCAACACTTCTTTAGCCTCATCAATCAACTCAGCGTTGCTTCCAGTGATGAGTAAACCATCCACATACACCAGAACAATCACCACATCTTGTCCCCTTTTTAAGGTGAACTATGAATAATCATAGCTGCTCTTCATGAATCCTACTTCTACTAGTGCATCTGTTAGTTTGATGTAAGGCTGTCATGTGGGCCGATTAGGCCTAGGCCTAGCCCAGGCCCGCAAGCCCATATGGGTAGTGGGCCTGTGATGACCAAAAAGGTCATCACTTATTTTAGAAATGAATTCCATATTCCGAGGCCTTAAAACCTCCTTTTTGTCTCACCTCGATTTGCATGCACAGTTCGGGCATGTATCCGAAAAGCCATTATGTGAAAATCTGTGAAAAATAATGAATTTTGCATTTAAAATAAATTTAGGTTGACTTTGGTCAAAATTTTAGGTAAACGAGTCCGGATCTATGATTTTACGGTCCTGAAGGGTCCGTAGTAAAATATGGGACCTGGGCGTATGCTCGGAATCGAATTCCGAGGTCCCAAGCCCGAGAAATGAATTTAAAAAAAAAACAATTATTTTCTGGAATATATATGAGTTTTTGGAAATGAAATATGTTTGAAGTTGATGGTATCAGGCCAGTATTTTGGTTCCGGAGCACGGTACAGGTCTTATATATGATTTAAGTTGAGCCTGTACAATTTGGTAAGAAATGGACTTAAAATGACGTGATTCGGAACCTTAGTTGTAAAATTTGAAACTTTGAAAAGTTCATGAGATTTCCTTTGATTTTGACGGTAAATTCATAGTTATTGATGCTATTTTTAGGATTTGATTGCACGAGCAAGTCTGTATGATATTTTTAGGTTGGTGTGCATGTTTGATTTGGATACCTGAGGGCTCGGATGAGTTTTGGATAGGGCACGGAGTGAAATAGGACTTAGGAGAATTGTTAGTGTGTAGCAGGCCTCTGATCTCACATTTGCGAGATCAGGCATCGCAATTGCGATGTAAGTAGGGTTCGCAAATGCGAGGATTATGTCGCAAATGCGAAGAACCCAGGGCCAGCATTACCTCACAAATGCAAGGTACACTTCGCAAATGCGAAGTCTTCAGTATGTGTCAGGAGTCGCAAATGCGACACCTTTATCGCAATTGAGATATCACAAATACAACAATAGCTTCACAAATGCAAATAAAGCAGGTTTCATAAGGGTTCGTATTTGGGATCCCTAGTCGCAATTGCGACATCAGAGACCTGCTAAAACGAATTTCAGACGGGATTTCAACCATTTTTACATCCCTTTCAAAACCTAAACACCTTTGGGCGATTTTTCAAAGACAAGTACTCTTCCAAATCGATTGTAAGTCATTTCTAACTTGTTTTCATCAATCTTTAACATCTTTTCACATGATTTCAACTCAAATATCAACGGTTTTCATGGGGGAAATTGGGTGTTTTGGGTAGAACCTAAGTGTTTTTTAATTTTAGGAATTTGGACCTCGATTTGAGGTCCGATTTCAAAACAAATTATATATTTGGATTCGTGGAGAAATGGGTAATTGGGTTTTGGTTCGAACCTTGGGTTTTGACCAAGTGGGCCCGGGTGCAATTTTTGACTTTTTGGGAAAAACTTTAGAAAACCTATTTTCATGCATTAGAATTAATTCATTAAGCATTTATTGATATAGTTAAATAACTTATGGCTAGATACGAGCAAATTGGTGGTGGAATCAAGAGGTAAAGCGGTAGTTGAGGCTTGAATTGTGTTTGTGTCATCGAGGTAAGTGTTTGGTCTAACCTTAGCTTGAGGGATTAGGAGTTGTGTCTTATTTTCTATGTGTTAATTATGAAGTACGGCGTATAGGCATGGTGATGAGTATCTATACGTCGGTGTCAAGCATGCCCGTGAGTCTTATATTATAATTGTTGCGACTCCGTTGTGGTTATTCGTGCCTCATAGGAGGATTATCATTATTGTTTCTTTGTCGGGATGTTGTTTGTTATATTATTGTTCCCTTGTCGGGACTTTGTTGTTATATTATTGTTCCCTTGCCGGGATATTGTGGTTATATTATTGTTCCCTTCCCGAGATGTTGTTGTTATATTATTGTTCCATTGCCGGGATTCTTTTATGATTGGTGTTGATAAATGAAATGGGAGCGGATTGCACGACTACAATGGTACTATATGAAATGGGAGCGGATTGCACGACTACAATGGTACTATATGAAATGGGAGCGGGTTTCACGCCTAAAACGGTACTATATGAAATGGGAGCGGGTTGCACGCCTGCAACCGTACTATATGAAATGGGAGCGGGTTGCACGCCTGCAACCGTACTATATGAAATGGGAGCGGGTTGCACGCATGCAACGGTATTACATGTGTACTTGTTTCTTATTTCCTTATCTCTTGTTAGAAATTGAATTATGGCGTTCTTTGCATTTCTCTATTTGTTTCTGTTGTTGCCTGATATACCCTGTAGCATATCCTCCCTTCCTATCTTTAACTGTAAATGTGAGCACGTGATTTTTGCTTCAAGGAAATTACTCCAAAAGAAATCGGAAAAAAAAAGTCACCTTTGGATACAATTTTGAGAATTTACGTGACATTTTGGTAATTGTTTTGTCCGTAAATGTTTACCTTGTCGTAGTTAATTTTAAAAATACAAAAATACGGGTCGCATGCATATTTAGAATTTAATTATGCATTTTGGAATTAATTAAACCGTAATTTAGTTTTCAAAGGAAAACCACAAAAATATGCATTTTTATTCTAATCTGTCGTCATTGTGTGATTTTATTTTAACTAAACGTTTTAATTTGTGTGTTAATTTTATTGAATGTTAATTAATATTTGTGTAGTTTTGGTTTTAATTTAATTAGGAATTTTTGTTTAAATTAAAAGAATGAAAAGGGAGGAAAATACAGGATTTGGGCCAAAAATTCAAGTGAAAATCAGGCCCAATCCATTACACTGACCCAGTCCACGACCTGGGCTTCCAAACGACGTTGTTTAGGTGTATTTGATCAGAGCCGTTCATCTCACTTCATCTAACGGCTCTAGGCTTTCCCAGATACCTGACCCACTGGTACCCGGATTGACCCATTCCCAACACTAAACCAAATGACGTCGTCCCCTTAAGTGAAAAAATCAAGGCTGTTGATCATCAATGATCCAACGGCCGAAATTCAACTCCCCCATCCCGTATATTAACCCTCCTCTCTTACCTCACGCCCCTGTAACCAAACACCCTCCTGCACCCCTTCGTCTCTATCAACTCGGAGACGAAACCCTCAGCAAACCCTAGACGCCGTTGAATCCCTAAGCCTGAAACCCGGCGGCGACGATGTCGGTGACCACCAAATTAACACCCCTAGTGCACCTCGACCCCCTAGACACGAATCTGCAAACCGTTTGGTTCGAATCAACCTACATCGTCTCGAATCTTCATCTGAAGATTCGAGCCAAACCTCAACTTCATCTGAGTTCAGACCTGGGTCATCTAGTTTTACTTGAGGTATTTCCTTTTCCCTTTCTGTTTGTTCTATTTTTTGTTTGTTTTGTTATTCGTTTGTGTAGTTAGAATAATTTTATTTCCAATTTCCGTGCTTTGTTCTTCTTCTTCTCCAAATCAGACCTCTTATTTGGTCGAAATTTTCGTCTGCTCGTTGTTAAGTGTATGTGTTAAACTATATAATCGATTGGAATGAGTTTGGTCGATTAATTAGTTTCCAGGGTAATTCCCTGTTTTGTCAGTACAACTTGAATCACCTATGTGTACTGTTCGATTCTGATCATTAGCTATTGACTTGTATGTTGTAATTCATATAGTCGATTGGATAAATGTCGTCAATTAGTTGGGATGTTAGAAACCTGTAAATTGTTCAAGTTTTAATGATCTGTCAGTTTAATGCTAATATACCACTAAGCTAATGAATAAAATAGGGATCAATAATAGGAGTGATAATGTTGTTAAGTGCCTTTAGTGGCTGGAAATAAGAAAGAGCATGAGGTTTAATTTTAAAATAGAAATGGCCAGTTAAAAGACTGACAGATTTTTTGAATTAACTAGTGAAAAAGGGTACTACTTGAGTTGGCTTAGTGACTTTACTGGTGGGAAATCAGTAACAGCATGGGTTTAATGATAAAAAGGTAGAAATGCACATGAGGAGGGAATAAAATAGGCTAGAAGTGAAATGTTTGAATAAAAGAATGGCCAATTCTAGTCTTTAAATGGACTGGATTTTGGATAAGAAAGAGGTGGTTTTTAGAACCTAAGGGAGTCTATTTTTTTATATATTTTTGAACTAGGAAAGAGAGCTCATTCTTTGGACTTCAATCCTAGATAGACAAAAACAAAAAAGGGCAAAAGAAAAACCTCTATTGCTCCATTGAAGCTGAAAAATTCTGATTTTCTTCACTGTTTGTTTTAAATCAGCACTAACTGCTATTGTTCTATTGAAACTTCAAGCTTCTTTCTTTGAGCATTCGAAAATCAAAAACTATTATTCCACTGTTGTTTTGGATTCACCTATTTTTGCCTGTGATTAACATTGTTATTTCCGGGTCTCAACTGAGTCTTTCGAGTCTGTTTTGGTTGGATATTTGGTACTGTTTCATTGGGATATTTATGTCTTGTTCACTGGGATTTATTCTGCTCGGTTGTTACTGCTGCTGTTGTTGTTGCTGATTTTCTTCTTCTTCTTGTTCGTTGTGTTTCAACATCCAGGTACACGTTCGAATTAAGCTTTGATGTAACTCTGACTTGAAAGGTTGAAAAAAAAATGGAAATATTCATGCTTTGCCCCCTGTTGCTCATGTAGTTTACCCTGCACTTATGTTTTCAAAAAGAGATATTAGTTGATATGTAATTATTTAATACAGTTTAGTTTGGGTTGGTATTGGTTGGAACAACTACTGTATTAATTTGATTTGTTTTTGGACTTTTAACGGACTATCTAGTTGCTGGAAATTTGTTTAGTTAATAATCTTAATAACGTCATTAGTTTAACTGAAAGTCAGCAATAGAATTAACTGATACTGGAGCTGCATATTATAGTTAATCATCAAACCGTCAAGTAGTGGACTAACTTCAAATCATTTGTATTCAGTTTTGGATTGACTTGTGCTGGCGTAAATGGAAATTTGTGTTAATACAGTTGCTTAGTATAGTTTAATATGATTCAAGTTCATTCATTATTAGACACTTCATTCACAGGCAGTGAGTCATAACTTAATCCGTACTTAAGGGAATCCATCAATGACTCACTTAGTTTAGTTTAATAGCATGAAGTTTGAGTCTTAATTTGGAGTGTCGGGTTTATACAACTATATACGTTTTGAATTCTAAAAGCACTAGATACATCTCCTATCTAAAAGAATACACGCTGCATTTGCATGTTGAAAGGGCATTCCGCCCCCACCCCCTTATAAATAAAATTAATGTCCATGTTCACCATACATGTGCACGGTTAAATGAGTTGAATGGTATTGTAGTGGCTTTAGTTTGGCTTTAAAAAATATATAAAAAAATCATAATGAGACGAACCTCGCCAAATAAGAAATGCAAATTGCGGGGACCTTAATAATTGGTCATAATAAATACTTAGAATTTAGAATGGGTCGTGTAGCGAATTTCACTGCCTTCCTCAAAGATAATAACGTGTTAGACTCTTTAGATGCGATTTTAATTAAATTACATTCTTAAATTCGGGTGCGCATTTATGTGACCCAAATCCAAAT